CTGGAAGTGGTAGACTAACGCGACCTGGCCTATGTTACTCCCCGGTCCGAGTTACCCATATACCCCAAATTTCAGACTCGGGGCAGACCTAGTGTAGCCGCCAACCCCGAACAGACAGACAGACAGACAGACAGACAAACGACAGTCTCAAATATATATATAGATTTGTTATCGTATATTGAAATATGACATGACAATAACTTGACGCTATTTCTGGATAATGTGAAACGGAAATTTAAAATATATTTAATACGAACCATTGTTAGAATGTGATATGTTTTTGACGATTTGTTTGGTATTCTTAAAGGCATCATTTTCATTTTCGCTTGTTTTGTTATATATATATATATATATACGTAAAATAAAGTAAATGCGTCCATTCTAGATGATTATGTTATTACTGATTTCCGATAATTACTGCCAGAGTTATGGCCCTTGATCACTTTGAAAAATCTTGTGGACGCTCTAGAGGCCAAAGTTAATATCCGATTGACCTTAAATTTATACACAGTGTTTAAGGTCATGAGCCGAAGAAGCCTATTGATTTTCAGCGATTTCCGATAATTACTACTAGAGGTATAGCCTTTGATCGCTTCAAAAAATCTTGTGGACGCTCTAAAGGCCAAAGTTAATATCCGATTGACTCTAAATTTATACACAGTGATAAAGGTCATGACACGAAGAGGGCTATTGATTTTTAGCGATTTCCGATAATTACTGCCAGAGTTATGGCCCTTGGTCACTTCAAAAAATCTTGTGGATGCTCTACAGGCTAAAGTTAATATCCGATTGACTTTAAATTTATACACAGTGCTTGAGGTAATGAGACGGAGAAGCCTATTGATTTTCAGCGATTTCTGATAATTACTGCCAGAGTTATGGCCCTTGATCACTTCAAAAAATATTTTGGACGCTCTAGAGGCCAAAGTTAATATTCGATTGACCTTAAATTTATACCAGTGTTTAAGGTCATGAGACGAAGAATCCTATTGATTTTCAACAATTCCCGATAATCGATAATTACTGCCAATGTTATGGCCCTTGATCACTTTGTGACGCTCTAAAGGCTAAAGTTATCAACCGATTGACTTCAGATTGATACACAGAGTTTAAGATCTTGAGATGAACAAGTATTGTGATTTTCAATGAATTTTTATGACTTGAACAGCTAAATCCATGATATTAAAAGTTTTGTATACAAAACGTTAGCATGGGGCAGAACTTTATAAAAACCAAACAAATTCATATAGTTTTCTGATAATTACTTAATGAGTTGTTGCTCTTAATCAGATTTCATTACCGAAAAAAGTAAAATATGTGGGTGTATGTTTCGTTGCCTGGCATCCTATCTTTATCTAAAGCTTTCAATCTCGAAACTTAGCGAAAGTGCGAAACCATTTCGAGTTTAAAAGTTAGTTTCAAAATTTTAAAATACTAATTATATATCAATACATATAGGTCCATAACTTTCATAAGAAATAAATGATGACGGCGAAAAAAACTTTTTATTAAAATTAATATTATTTTTCTTACAGTACTCTCTTACATTTTTACAAAATTTTACAACATCAATTTCTATAGTAGTAGAACTGTCAAGGGATTTCATTCTCCTTTTATACACAGAAATTCGGGCACAGATTAGTATTAAGTTGACTAACTCGAACGGCTGAGAGTTTTTTTTGGGATTGTAACCCAATTAAAAAATATGTTTTGAGATCTTCCTCACTACTAGCAAATCTAGACAATTAAAAAATTAAATCTTCAGTTTCTTCTTTTACTACTGGGCAAATGTCATCTAATGTTTTATTTATCTTGAATAATTTTAATTTTGTCCAAATAATGTTGTGTACAACTTTGTAATCTAATGCTATCATTTGCGGGTCTTTAAAACTTAAAAATTTATATTCATCACTCTTTTCTCCCAAAATACAATACATTTCGGTTCTACGAACAATTTCCTAATAAGACTGTTGTAACAGAACTTTTTGTTAATTGCTCTGGTTCAATTTATTCGTTATCAGTTGTAAAAATACATTCTTTTCTTTTTTAAAGGAAGGTAGTAGGATTGCTAATAATGTAACACCAAATATCAGGAATTTAAGACTTTATAATATCATATTGTTTTAATATTTTTTCGCTACAATACTCAGGGAAATCTGTACGAATGATATCTAATATAGTATGGGGTAGTAAGAAGTCGGGTTTTACACAATCTAATTAAAATATAGATCTATATTTCGTTTCGTTTTTTATACTTTCGATGGCCTACACTACATGTAGATCTAAAAAGTTATAGTGGGAGTTCACTTTCTATGACGTCAGGTAGCAAGCAAGCGACATTTGACCCGATTACGTCAGTCGTTCGATTAACCAATTAGCGACCGCCATGTATTTTTTATCTACTTTTGCTTTGTTTTGATTTCTATTGCCGCTAATGTCTACCCACAGTTCCGCGCAAAAAAGGTCAAACGCTCGATTCGACAGACCATTTGATTGGCTGACCCCTCATTTCAAGCAGAACACGAGTTAAATAACAACGCTTCCAGATCCAAGTGTAGTAAAGACAAGTAAAATCGAAATTTTGAACTATAAAAACGAAACGAAATTGGTCAAAAGGTCAAAAGCCGCTCATATGACCTCTGACGCGATCTATCGCTACAACCGGTCAGATCTTCATGTAGTGTAGGCCATCGAAAGTATAAAAAAAACGAAACGAAATAGAGATCTGTATTGTAGTCAGATTGCCTTTTAATTATTTCATGGGTTGTTACTCGTGATTGGGGGTAGGGGGAGGGTGGCCGAATGGTTAGCGCGTGCGTGTTTTATCATAAGGTCTGTCATTGAGTCAACTGGTTTGGTTTCGATTCCCCGGTTGCACGTGACAAGGAGTATGGTCGCCTGTCCAACCTCGTGGGTTTTCTCCGGGTCCTCCCTTGTCCTCCCACTGCTAAAGACCCCTACGCGCAAGCAAATTATTGAAATGACCTAGTTTGTGTCGAGAGGACGTTACCCCCCCCCCACTCTCTCTCTCTCTCTCTCTCTCTCTCTCGCTTCCACTACCTACAAAAGAATAAATATTCAAAAAATCTTTGTGGTGAAATATGTTTCCCTCTGGTGGTTTATCGTATGATTTATGATGTCGGCGTTAAATGATGACATATTTCGCTTTCAATATTAATGTACAATTACGTGGGAAGAAAAACAGAAGAACGTAGATTGTATTTTTAAAGTGGCAATATATAAAAGTCTCGATCGTCCATTTTAACATCAAATTCAATCAAGATCAAGACCACCCGAAGATCTAGAGCGTTGCTTATAGACTTGACATGTAAATAAATTTATAATTTATAATTTATAACATAATTTAAAAAAACGATTCATGTAATCGAGAGAGAGAGAGAGAGAGAGAGAGAGGGGGGGGTTAACGTCCACTCGACACAAACTAGGTCATTTCGGGACTAACACATGGTTCAATTTTATTTCAATAATTCGCTTGCGCGTAGGGGTCTTTAGCAGTGGGAGGAAACCGGAGGACCCGGAGAAAACCCACGAGGTTGTACGGGCGACCCTACTCCTTGTCACGTACAACTGGGGTATCGAAACCACGCCAGTTGACTCATAGACAGACCTTATGATACAGCGCGCACGTGCTAACCATTCGGCCATCCAACCCCCCTTTAACTATAACTGGAAGTTAATATTGATAATGTTACATATTCATTTAATTAGCTTATTCTTCTAAAATCCTTTGGAGGCAGAATGATGTCTTGGAACTTTTGTTTGAAGAAATATCGATGTTAATGGAGGAAAAATTGCTTTCAATGAAACTGATTTAGATATATAATAGTGTTTTCAACATTTCTAAATCGGATCAATTTTTATTAAAATACAGATAAATATTTCATTTTGTTTTTTCTTATTCTTTCGATGGATGGGTGAAGTAGATTTGTGCTAGTGATAGGGCCACCTCAATTTTCGTTATAGGTCACGAGATGTAAAGAGGACTAACGCTAATCCAAACCCTGCCCCTAACCCTAGACCTAGCCCCAATGCTTACCCTAACCCTAGTCAACACTCACGTGACCTAATCTTATTTACATCTTAGCGACATTGACAACAATTGAGCTGGCCTTAACAAATATATTTAGGCAGGTAAAGTGCGGAGAAACTAAAACGAAATTTTGAACTATAAAAAACGAAACGAAATAGGATCTGTGTTTTAATGAGAATGTAAATCGATGTTTTTAAAGATACATTATGGGAGATTAGATAAAGAGCTGGCAGTTCTAACTATAATATTTTCATTGTCCCCCGCCTTTCGAAGAAAGCAGGGGACTATTAAAATGGGTTCGTCCGTCTGTCTGTCCGTCACACTTTTTGGGACACAATAACTCTCCTTCTAATTGGGCTAGAATGTTTAAGCTTGGTGTAGGTTTTTATTAGGTCAATGCCTTGATGGATTTCGAAGATGGGCATTTTCTGTTTAGGGTAAGCAGAGATAAACAATTTGATTGGTTGATGCTTTGAGACATGATAACTTTAGTTCTAATGAATTGAGAGTGATGACACGCGGAGTATAGATTCATTATATCATAACCTTGACTAAGTTCGATGATGAGAATTTTCTGCTTAGACTAAGGAGCGATAAGTAATGTGATTGGTCAAGACTTTGGAACATAACAACCCTGCTTTTAATTGAGGTAGAATGTTTAAACTTGATGTAGATGTTCATTAGGTGAATGTCTTGACTGAGTTCAATGATTAACATTCCAAGCTAAAGCTAAGCAGAGCTAAGCAATTTCATTGGTCGATGCTTTAGGACAAGATAACTTTGATTCTATCTGACAGAGAGTGATAAAACTTAATGTATAGTTGATAAATGTGCGATTAATTAATATGTGTCATCTATTTATTTTGGGATTTTGGGCTTGTTAAAGATACATTATGGGAGATTAGATAAAGAGCTGGCAGTTCTAAGTATAATATTTTTATTTTTTCAGATTCGTCTAAATGAATTCATCTAAACTACTAACTGGGAGAATCCGAGTTTGCATTCAGCAAATATTATACCAAAGTTCATCAGCATCTGTACATGGGAAAATATCCTGTACAGGTGTAAAGGATTGGCATGATATACCTGGACCTAGTGGCCTATATTCCATACCTGTCATAGGACCTGCACTACATTTCAAACCATTCAGTGAGTACATTGTGTATTGGGGTGTTGCGATGGAGTGGGACGATTTACCCAATACTAAACAATACCACTCATTTCCCGCGATATAACTCTCTATTTTTGAAAAACATCAAATGATGTGATGTGTCAATTTTGCATCATTATGTTGAAGTATTGAGGTGGTATTGTGGTGGTATTGAGTGGTATTGGGTAGTATTGAGGTGGTATTGGGGTGGTATTGGGTAGTATTGAGGTGGTATTGGGTGGTATTGGGTAGTATTGAGTAAATCGTCCCGCCGGTTGGGATGGCCCAGTGATCTAGACTGTCGCGCTTCGCACTCTAGCTGGCCTGTCACTTCTGGCTTGCGGACATGGTTTCGATACCTTGAGTGAGCGTATGTGGCATGAAGATAGGGGCACCTTCTCAACCTTGTGGGTTTTCTCCGGGTACTCCGTTTTCTTCTCACAGGAAAGACCCCTAAGCGTAGAAGAAGACGTTAAGCACTAAGAACAACAACATTGTGCATTGTACAGAAAAAGGAGATCAAATAGGGTTTAACGCCCTACTTTTTTGCATCACCAGAGCTAATGAAGACCAGCATATTATACGTCATACAGTGTGGTATGAGGGAATGTTTGCCCAGGCAGGGGCGCTATGGTCTACTCTTATATTGAATTCCAACTGCCAAAAGGATTTTTTAGTCTACATGCCCATGTATACACGAGGTCTCGGTTTTTCGTACCATCCAAACGACTAGGCGGCTGTCCTTGTCGGGTCCTTCGTCCAGCACCACTGACAAGGGGGAAATCACATCGGAAAATCCCGATGAACTTCCTCGGCAAATTCTAATATTTTTGAAGACACTCAATTAATGATGCATTATGTAGATCTTTCGTTTGGCCCCAAATATTATATAGATCGTTATTTAGACATTTATTCACTTGCCAATCCCATACTCAACTCTCTAGACCATCGGGTGGTTTTGCTTTTCAGTGGATTTAAATACGATTGACAGTTAATGATTTAATTAAAAATTGGATAATGGAGACTTTGTTTATTATCGTAACAACTGTAGCAATGATAATCGAGACTACACTGTTCTTCCAACGACGCTCAGACTGGAGTGATTTGGCTGAAATTTTCAACATATTATTACTTTCTCTTTTCATTATCTATTTTATAACTGTCAGCTCTTTGTCTAAGTCTTACATAATGCATCTTTAAGGACAGACAGTTAGCTTATGATTTGATGTTTGTCAGCTTGAGGGGGCTGTATCCTAAGGTCTGTCCTCGAGTCAAGTGGCGTGGTTTCGATTTCCCGGTTGTACGTGACAAAGAGTAGCTGTCGCATGTACAACCTCGTGGGTTTTCTCCGGGAACTCCGGTTTCCTCGCACTGCTAAAGACCCTTACGCCCAAGCGAATTGTTGAAATAAAATTGAACCATATGTTAGTCCCGAAATGACCTAGTTTGTGTCGAGTGGACGTTCAACCCCATCTCTCTCTCTCTCTCTCTCTCTCTCTCTCTCTCTCTTTTGGTCTTGGCGTTTTTTTATATGTATAGTGAATGATGTGTATATATGATTTGGGCGTAAAAAAGATTGGGGTTTTTTTTTATATGTATATTGAATGATATTTAAATGCATCATTATAATATATTTTCAGCCAAGCATGTACCAGAAAGAATCCATTGTCTAATAGATGATTTACATGAAGAATATGGTCCTATTGTAAGAGTCAAGTTAGGAAGATGGCGGGTATTGGTGGAAGATATAAACGATATTAAGACAGTGTTCGGTAATGAAGGGAAATACCCTAACAGACCCGGTGTTCCAGTGTCTATCGCGTATGGAGAAAGACGAAACGTCAGAAATGGTTTGGAGAATCTGTACGTTTTTTAATTGATTTTTTCTTCTTTTAAGACAAATATTTACGTTTTTCGTGTCCGTTAATCCGCTGATCTTTTCTTCGATGCCAATTCTTGTGAATGTTCTAGAAGTTGGTCCTGATGGGGGTGGGGGGTGGGGGATGGCCCAATGGTTCTATCGAGTGAACGTTAAACCCTATTTATATCTGTCTATCTACAGGGAACAATTAACTAACTTTTATATAGTGATAGCATTTTAAATCGGCATTTCTGAACTATAACTCAGAAACCGGAAGTAGTTACGAAAATTATGACTCTAACATCCATTCCATTCATTCGTACATTAATTGTCACGTCCAGGCCCAAGGTGCCCGTATACCCCAAATAGCAGACTCGGGACAGCCCAAATTGCCAACCCCGTAACGGATACCCAACTGTCATAGTCACGACATGATAAAATGTCTGAGGAAGTTCCTCGGTGGTACAGGGCGAAAGGCCTGACAAGGAACAGTCTCTAGTCGTTCAGATAGGACGAAAATCCGAGGTCCCGTGGACGCATTGTGTGCACGTAAAAGAACCCTTGTCACTTGGAAATCGTAATAAATTATTGCCGAATAGCAAGAAGATAAACCCCGCTGATAAAATTTTAAAAAATGATATAAATTTTGTTCACGCCAGCGTTCCGTAGCTGTAATATGGTACTTAACCCAACACACTTATTATTAATGACATGTATAGGGCTTAACGCTGCATACCCCGAAACTCAATCTATTTTTAGTGCCACGTAATATAACGTTACGAAACATTTATGGTCGTAATTCATATCCATAAAACAAATCTTAAAGAAAATAAAGCAATAAAAAAACAATATTAATTTAACAACGGGAACTGTTGTTCTTTTTGCTTGCAATTATAAGCCCCAGTTTAGCCACTATTAGGGGGGGGGGCTGAATGTTTAGCGAGTGCGCGCTATATCATAAGGTCTGTAATTGAGTCAACTAGTGTGGTTTTGATTCCCCGGTTGTACGTGACAAGGACTAGGGTCGTCTGTCCAACCTCGTGGGTTTTCTCGAGTTCCTCCTGTTTCCTCTCCTGCTAAAGACCTATTTGCGCAAGCGAATTATTGAAATAAAATTGAACCAAATGTTAGCCCCGAAATTACCTAGTTTGTGTTGAGTGGATGTTAATATCTCTCTCTCTCTCTCTCTCTCTCTCTCTCTCTCTCTCTCTCTCTCTGTGTTTAGTATTTGATTGTCCCCCAGATAATGCTTTCCAGATAAGAATATAGCGTCACCGTTTGACTTAACTTGTGGAATGTCTAGCCTCATTCTTCGAGTTCCTTGTTCCACATGACGTTGAAACGCATTATGGTACACGAATCGTGTACCAATGGTTAAATATTTATTTTGTATTAAATATTAGATATCAGAAGCCCATCTTTTCCCTGTAAAATCACAACATCAATGTTGATTGTTGATTTCAATTGACAAATAATTTGTGTTTTCAATGTCGAAGACTTTGAATGATATTGAGTAAGAGACTTAGCTCCTTTAAACATACATTATGCAAGAGCTAAATCTGTCTATTGCAGGGCTTTCTTTAGGCCTGAAATGTTATCTAAATTATTAATTAGACATTAATTAACTTACCCAGACCATAATTAACTCTCGATGTCATCGCTAGCCTGTGATATTAACTGGATTAGGATTTGCTGCTCTACGTTTATTCATGATTAAATCAAGAAATGGATAATCGAGACTTTGTATTTTATCGTACCGACTTTAGTAATGATGATCGAGGCTAGGCCCAAAATTCAATCGCTACATTCTCGGTTCAGGGTGGATCAATATTAGACTGAAATTTTCAGCAAATACCAGCTCTTTATCTAATCTCCCATAATGTATCTTTAATTAAATGTAAAATAATGAATCTGAATACGTATTAACGTGGATTAAGCCTTGGGAAAAATGCAAATGACGCACCGTTACTTTAAAGATACATTATGTAAGATTTAGATAAAGAGCTAGCCATTCTTGCTATAATAGTTCGAAAATAGATAATGTAAAACGAATAATTTGAAAATTTCATTCATATTACTCTATTGCGAGCGGCGATATTAGCCTTTGAAGGTTTGACAAGACGTGTGCAATAATTTCAACCACCGTACTGGTTGTTCGAAGCTTAGTCTCGCTCCTCCATTTTTAGCTTAAATCAAAATATGGCTGAACTGTTCTAATTTATTTAATATCGGAGAAATCCGATGCCATCAGAAGTTGATTATGGCCTGGATAAGTTAATTAATGTCTAATTAAGAATTTAGAAAACATTTCAGGTCTTAGGTCTTGCATAATGTATGTTTAAATATTTCTGTAGATCTTAACTTTCCTTGATACGTCAGTTGTATTTCCGCCTACTCTGTTTCGAATTTAGCAAGCCTTAAAGTCCGTTTTCCATCTGGTTTCCACAGTGGTCTGATTCCGTAGTGGAGAGGAATGGAATGGAACCACTGTGGATACTGAGGATTGGTTTCCACGCACGCGTTACGTAGAAACGGTCCTATGACATTTTCATTAGAACGACATTTTCGCCGGCGAGAACGCGTGTGGAAACGCCACGAAAACGAGTACATGGATTAAGGGCCTAAGCCACGCTTCAGTAATCCCAAATGTTCTGCTCACGTTACTCAACTGATGACGGGATTGTAACCTGGGGCATTCTTTTACAAAACCCAATTCCCTAATTGCTCGACAACTTCAGAATGGCTGATTAGGTTAATCAGATTTAGGCCACGCCAATGTGATTTTCTGTTCTTCTGGAACACCTGTAGAAAAATGTCCATATTATTTCTTCGGGTAAAAAATTATTTAAAAAGCAAACGTATTTGGTTGTGCTGTTCAAAAAGTTTTCCTTGGCAGTGATGCAGGACGGAGGGCCTGACAAGGACAGCTGTCTAGTCATTCAAATGGGACGAAAAACCAGGTCCCGTGTACACATTGGCGTGCACGTAAAAGATCCCTTGACAGTTGGAATTCGATATAAGAGTAGGTCGTAGTGCCGCTGCCCGGGCAAAATTTCCCTCATAGCACACTGTATGGCGTATGCCCGTCTTCATTAGCCTAGTTCGGAGCAGAACAGTAGGACGTTAAAAAACCATTTCATTTCATTTCATTTCATTTCAAAGGGTTTAAGTTCCAAATGAAATTTTAAAAAACCCATCTTTCACGTGTTTCAAGATCTCCGAAAAACAGATAATCAAATTACTGTGGCCTTATTCCTATACAAGTATCTTTACAGAACCAAAGAGTCAATGACCACAAACTTATAAGGAGCTTATAAGAACGTGTAATTCGCTTAGAGCTAAATTAGTTCTTACGTAGGAATCCGTTTTAGTACTTAAAGCCAAACCTTGGCACTTAAATCCAAATATTTGTTATTAATGAGATACATAATTAGAAATGTCAATATCCTCTTGGTTGATGCCTACAGGCGATACCCAACTCATAATCTCATGATGAGCAGACGCTTTCTATAATTACGTTGGATGGCCGAATGATTAGTGCGCGCGTTGTATCATAAGGTCTATCATTGGGTCAACTGGCGTGGTTTCGATTTCCCAGTTATACGTGACAAGGAGTAGGGTCGCCTGTCCAGCCTTGTGGGTTTTCTCCGGGTCCTCCAGTTTCCTCCCACTGCTAAAGACCCTTAAGCGCAAGCGAATTATTGAAATAAAATTGAACCATATGTTAGTCCCGAAATGACCTAGTTTGTGTCGAATGGACGTTAATACCCACTTCTCTCTGTCCCTCTCTCTCTTGCTGTTTTTCGGGTCCGGCGGACTTGAAAGTTTAGAGTACATATGATTACCTGGATTCATGTGTTAATTTATTTCCTTGTCTGGAGGTATTCAGAATAAAGATCTTGGACCCAGGAAAGGACATGCTGAAACGGACAGATATCTGTGGTTGGTTATACATACATTATGCAAGGGCTAAATCTGTCTATTGCAGGTCTTTCTTTATCTGAATTATTAATTAGACATTGATTAACCTATCCAGACCATAATCAACTCTAGATGGCATCACTAGCCTGCGATCTTTAGTGGGTTATGAGCCGATTTATTACATAACTTTCCTTCTCGATTTAACGATTAAATGGATATGCTGTTTATCAGTAATGATAAAATTTAAATCGATTAGTTCTCGGTTCATAGTGGATCAATTTGAATGAAATTTTCAGCACATTGCCTTTACATTATCTAGTTTTTAACTATTGTGGTGAGAACTGCCAACTCGTTATCGAATCTCCCATAATGTATCTTTAAGCCCATTTGCGCTCTTGTTTATTTATCCGTAATTTAAATGGCTTCCAGGCAAACCTAGTGAAATCTATTGACGAAATAGCGTGCTATTTTGAGGTAGGATAGTTCCTGACATTTCCGATTCATTTGGTATTTATTAAAGCGAACGTAATTAAAACTACATTAAAGGATTCTACCTGGCGATATCAAATACAATGGGATTACGTGATTAACAATAAATATACCGTATTATCTACCTGAGCGATTAACCGCTGGTATAGATAAGATTCATAATAATCGTGCGATACATTTTCTTGATGTAGGAATATTTAATTTTCAATCAACAATTATTAACAATATGAGAATCACGACAGTCACGAACTATTCAGGAAGAGAGATTAACATCTAGTTTTGGCCGAGAGAGAGAGAGAGAGAGAGAGAGAGAGAGAGAGGGAGGGTGAGATGGCGTTTAACGTCCACTCGACAGAGGGAGAGAGAGAGGGAGAGAGAGAGAAGGAGAGAGAAAGAGAGAAAGAAAGTCTAGTCGAAAAACTGCAAATACTCGTAATTATTAATGAATTAAGCGAATAGAAGACATGTCTTTAAATAGCATTTAAAATATACGCCTTCTCGTATTATCAGCACATGGCATTTCTTCGTTTCATTGTGAATATGCGTGTTTTTATTTGTTTCAGGGAAGGGGCAGATTGGGAAGCTGTACGGAAGCCTTGTAGTATCAGCCTATCTCGTCCGAACTCAGCAATACCATATCTTCATCAACAGAATCAAGTAGCCATTGAATTTGCCGAGAGGGTAACGAAACGAGCGTTCTCACCGGAAGACCTGAACAAAGAGTTTTACAAATATACTACAGAAAGTGAGTTGTATTTCTTAAAGAGAGAGAGAGAGAGAGAGAGGGGGGGGGGGGGTAACGTCCACTCGACACAAATTAGATCATTTCGGGACTAACATATGGTTCAATTTTATTTCAATAATTCGTTTGCAAGTAGGGGTCTTTAACAGTGGAAGGAAACCGGAGAACCCGGAGATAACCCACGAGGTTGGACAGGCGACCCTACTCCTTGTCACGTATAACCGGGTAATCGAAACCACGCCAATGGAAGACCTTATGATACAACGCGCTATCCATTCGGCTATTCCCCCCTCCACCACCACCCCATTTGGTGTTGAGTGGGCGTTAAATTCCGGATTTATGTGAAGAGAGGCCCCTCTCAATCCCCCAGTCTCGCGACCAGTGGAAGATGGGGAAGGTTTTAAATCAAAGTGACTATGGTAACGGGTGTTTGAGACTACAGTGCGCGTAAAAAAAAAAGGCTTATGCCAGTGGGTGCCACGGTGGTTCAGTCCATAAGAGAGAGAGAGAAATGGGGTTTAACGTCCGCTCGACACAAACTAGGTCATTTCGGGACTAACATATGGTTAAATTTTATTTACATAATTCGCTTGCGCGTAGGGGTCTTTAGCAGTGGGAGGAAACCGGAGGACCCGGAGAAAACCCACGAGGTTGGACAGCAGTCCATAAGAGGATGACTCGCGAGTTCGCTCCCGGTATTGGTTGAGAAGGTTCATCGGGATTTTCTGGCGTGATTTCCCCTTGTCAATGGTGCAGGACGAAAGGCCTGACAAGAACAGCTGTCTAGTCGTTTGGGTGGGACGAAAAATTGAGGTCCTGTGTGCGTGCAGGTAAAAGATCCTTTGACAGTTGGAATTCGATATAAGTAGGTCGTAGCGCCGCTCGCCGGTCAAAATTTCCCTCATAGCACACTGTATGGCGTATGCCCGTCTTCATTAGCCCACTTCGGAGCAGAACAGTGGGACGTTAAACCCCATTTCATTTCATTGAATCTGGTAAGATTCACAATCATACCTGATCCACAATGTATCTTTAAAGGGACAATAACACTCTTACTGGCTTGACAGCTCCAGAAAATAAATAATAGCCTTATTCTAAGTATTAGATGTTTAAGTGTCCTACCTGTTGTGCAAATTATCTATTACATCCTATTTTACTTGTTCAGAGGGTTCGAAAATATTTTTAAATCCAAGTCACACTTGAAAAGGTTTACGTTAGGCTTTTCAAATCATTTAGTTGAATTTTTCCAATTTTTTAAATTAGGTGTGTTAAGATGAAATTTGTATCATCAATTAATTGGAATATTGTAAAATAGAACAATTTGTTGACCAGAATAAAGATTGTGACATGTTATTCAGTTACAACAAGAGTGGTATTGAGCCTTTAAGTACTGGGGGGTTGGATAGCCGAATGGTTAGTACATGCGCGCTGTATTCCCCGGTTGTACGGGACAAGGAGTAGGGTCGCCTGTCCAGCCTTGTGGTTTTTCTCCGAGTCCTCCGGTTTCCTCCCACTGCTAAAGACCCCTAAACGTAAGCGAAATATTGAAATAAAATTAAAACATATGTTAGTCCCGAAATGACCAAGTTTGTGTTGAGTGGACGTTAAACCCCCTCTCTCTCTCTCCCCCTCTCTCTCATCTATAAGTACGATTGACAACCGAGGGTGTGGTGACACTAAAGTGACTGATTGAAATGTATCACAAGACTTCATAGCATATCTAATCCACAATAATTTATATCACCTTGGCCTCAAAAATGTTATCATACAGTTGATAAATTTAAAAAAAATAATCAAACAGTCCGATCAACTGAAAAAAATGGTTTATCAGTCATACAGTTGACTATATTTTATGTTAGGTGTCATGTAATAGCCCCTCCCCCTTCAACCTGGCTCAATAAGTTGTTCCCACTCTATGGCAGAGCCCTTGAGAGGAAGAGAAATGTGCTGGGGCGAGATCTTTTTTGCCCCCCTCCCTCCCCCTTTCCAACACTAGTCATATCTAGATGATTCACTAACAGATTGCGATAAAGTGAAAACTTTTGTACATACTTGTATAAGCTTCAAAGGAACAATAAAAAAATGTGTTGGGGCGAGACCTATTTGCCCCCGCCCCTTTCCAACACTAGTGATATCTAGATGATTCACTAGCAGATTACGATCAAGTGAAAACTTTTGTACATACTTATATAAGCTTCAATAAAAAATTCATGCATAATTTCCCATTTCAATTTTGAACTTTGATATTCATGGGCCCTATAGACTCTTATTGGTTCTGGGGCGGTGCACGGCTGCACCCACCCTCTCGTGAGGCCTGCTCCAAACCTTATGTTTCTAGCTTATACACAAATAACAAGGACAGCTGTCCAGTCGTTCGGATGGGACGAAAAACCGAGGTCCTGTGTACACATTGGCGTGCACGTAAAATATCCCTCGGCAGTTGGAATTCGATATAAGTGTAGGCGGTAGTGTCGCTGCCCGGGCAAAATTTCCCTCATAGCACACTGTATGGAGTATGCCCGTCTTCATTAGCCCAGGTTAGGAGCAGAACAGTAGGACGTTAAACTTCATTTCATTTCATTTATACACAAATATAGCTGCCTGTGGCCATCTTACTAATTCATAAAAAACGACCCAAATTCAAGCAGGGACGTGGTGAACCATAATTTTGCACGAGCAACAAGATCCTGTCCAGGACCCCAAAAAACAATATTTGTATGTGTGGTGGGGGTGGGCGGTGCCAGTCCCTCCCAGTGACATGGAATAATGTTGGGCTGTATGGAACATGCTAGATTCGATTTGTAGAATATCTGACGCAGGGTATATGTTTGACGCTGGTTAAGCATTATGCGTATAAAATAATATTGAAAACAGCATGATTTTTTGCTATTTGCGAGGGGGTGCAAAATCTCAAGGGAGCGCAAAAACTCAAAACCATGACTCAAAGCTCGTTATTACGTCCGTGAACATTAACTTTAAAGGGGCTAGCACAGTCGCAGGCTCCTTCACAGTCCATCTCTGGGTCGGTTTTGTCAATAATTCTTATGGCTCTTTACATACAAAACCTTTCTGTCGATTCTTTACATGCAAAACCTGGGTACGGGACAATTCGTCCCCAGACAACTCGTTCCCGGACAATTCGCCCGCCCCATAGGACTATTCGTCCCCGGATAACTAATCCCATGAGACTATTCGTACCTTAGGACTATTCATTCCCGGATAATTCGTCCCCAAAGACAATTCGTCGCCGGACAATTCATCCCCTAGGTCTATCCGTCCCCTAATTATGATCAACAGCTAATTCTAAAGAAATTGAAGAATTTGAAACTAACTGATGTCTGGTCTACATTGTTTTATCATGTTCAATAATGCATATTGATTATAAGTCAAGTGCAGTATTGACACTGGACATAGTGAAGGGATAAATGGATTCTCTAACTCACAAAAGGTGTCGCTGATCATTACTGATTACTACATGCACATCAATTAGCCCGAAAAAACTTCATGAACCATTAAGTTAAGGCCTAGATTTAATACTAAATGTAAAACGATGTAAAACTAGCATCAAAACTGGGATTTAGGATTAATTCAGTTTTTGATAATGGAACTAACATTATTGTTGTTCAGGGCCAAACTGGCCTAGGGGACGAAGTGTCCTTCGGGCGAATTATCCTTCAGGCGAATTGTGCTAGGGGACGAATAGTCAGGGGATAAATTGTCCATGGGGACGAATTGTCTGGGGAAGAATATCCGTAGGGGAGGAATAGTCCTATAGGACTAAAAGACCTGATACGAATTGTCCGGAGGCGAATTGTCCTCAGGGACGAATTGTCCGGGGACAAATTGTTCAGAGACGAATTGTCCTAGAGCCGCAAAACCTACATTGCCATATTTGTTTTTTATTTATTTATATATTTTAGCTTCGTGCGTAATAACCTACAATAAAAAGCTAGGCTTTCTGTCGGATAAAATGGATGAAAATAAAGAACTGTTCCTGAAATTTAATGACGAACTGATGAAGATAGTCAACGAATCTATAATGGGTCGAACTCCTCTTGTTCGCTATTTTAAGACACCTAGCTATAAAAGATATGAAGAAGCGAACGATTTTATTTTAAAGTAAGTCAATTTCATTTCCAATCTGATTCAAACACAGATCCTATTTCGTTTCGTTTTTATAGTTAAAAATTTCGTTTTACTTGTCTTTACTATACTAGGATCTGGAAGAGTTGTTATCATTGAGGTGTTCTGAATGATGTGAGGGATTAGCCAATGAAACCGTCTGTTACGGCGAGTTCTTGGCCTTTTAATGCACCGAACTGTGGGTAAACCAGAAGAAACGTCAACGCTGATTGATTATCAATGTCGGACGTCATAGGGTCAAAAGCCGCTCGTTTGACCCCTGACGTGAGCTCCCACTATAACTTGTCAGATCTTCATGTAGTGTAGGCCATCGAAAGTATAAAAAAAACGAAATAAAGATCTGTATTTTAATTAAATTGTTGCATTTCAGTTTAAACATACATTATGACGTCACATTAATAATGACGTCATTGTATTAATCATATTAAACATACATTATGCAAGAGGTAAATCTGCCTATTGCAGGTCTTTCTTTAGGCCTGAAATGTTATCTGAATTATTAATTAGACATTAATAAACTTATCCAGACCATGATCAACTCTCGATGACATCGGTAGAACTTTTATTCAAAGTGCCATAGATTGGTCATTATGGCAATTACAAAAACCCACAATGACCAATTAAACATGCATTATGCAAGAGCTAAATCTGCCTATTGCTTGTCTTTTTTTAGGTCTGAAATGTTATCTAAATTATTATTTCGACATTTATTAACATGAAAAGACCTTAAAGGACAATATTGGTGCCAGTCATTATCACATAATGTGATAGAGCTGGTTAAACACATTCCAAATATAATTTTAACAAAGAGATCATTGCTACGATAGCTGAGTAATACAGGTTTCCTGTATCGGAAGTGACGAACGCCAAAGGAAAACACGAGTCATCTCTCTATATAACTGACTGATGTTACTAGTAACTATTTCATCGTAATACACCGTGATTCTATAATGTACACGTATTCGTTGTCTCAGTTTAATAGACTTACATGAACATTAGAGTTATTTCCCATTGCTTAATTGTAGAACGGGTAATCTAATATTAGAATACGAATGGAAATGAAATGAAATGGGATCTAACATCCTACTGTTCTGCTCGGACTGGGATAATGAAGCCAGGCATACGCCATGCAGTTCGTTATAAGGAAATTGTGCCTGGACAGCGCCGCGGATTGTCTGCGATATCACCTCAGTGGAAGCGGATGTTAAATAAAGCTATTTCATACACACAGCGGTGCTATGGCCTATTCTTATTTCGAATTCCAACTGTAAAGGGTTCTTTTACGTGCACGGTAATGTGTACATGGGACTTCAATTTTCGTCCCATCCGAACGACTAAACTTTGTCCCTTGCCAGGCCCTCCGTCTTACACCACTGACAAGGGGAACCACGCTGGAGAATTCCGATGAACGTTCTCGGCCAAAGCAGGGATCGAACACGTGTCTTCCAGGTTAGCGAATAAACGTCCTACCCACTGAGCCACCGCGGCACTGACATTAGGTTAATGTCATATTCATCAACACCAAATAGGTTAATGAATAAGGGTATCAGCCACACATTCTTCTTATATTAGTACTAGCGGATAACCCGGAAGCGGTATGCCAACGCCATCTAGCCTATGTTTGTCCCCGGTCCGGTCAACCCCTATACACCAAATGTCAGCCTCGCGATAGCCCTTGTGTGGCAGCCAACCATGAAAAGACAGATTATAACTGTTCAGGGTCTCTACTGAACGCCAATATGCATACGGGCCTCGGGTTTATATCCCGAATGTTCTTCTCTGCCCGCGTCGGGATTTGGAGCCGGAACCCTCTGTTCGAGGGTGCAGTGGCCTGACTACCTCGATTCTGGTCTGAGTGCCCCGACTACCAAGGTCCTGGTCTGAGTGCCCTGACTACCAAGGTCCTAGTCTGAGTGCCATGACTACCAAGGTCCTGATCTGAGTGCCATGACTACCACGGTACTGATCTGAGTGCCATGACTACCACGGTACTGGTCTGAGTGCCCTGACTACCTCGGTCCTGATCTGGGTGCCCTGACTACCACGGTACTGGTCTGAGTGCCCTGACTACATCGGCCCTGGTCTGAGTGTCCTGACTACCAAGGTCCTGATCTGAGTGCCCTGACTACCACGGTACCGGTCTGACTGCCCTGACTACCTCGGTCCTGTTCAGAGTGCCCTGACTACCCCGGTCCTGGTCTGAGCGCCCTGACTACCAAGGTCCTTATCTTACTGTTTTGACTACCGCGGGCCTGGTCTGAGTACCTTGTCAAGAACACAGTATAGTCGTTCGGATGGGACAAAATCCGAGGTCCTGTGGCATTCACGTAAAACAATCCTTTGCAGTTAAAATTCGAAATCTCCCTCTAAGCATACTGTATGGTGTTAGCCCAGTCGGTGCAGAAAAGTAGGACGTTAAACCCCATTTCATTTATTATATGAGAAATTGGCTTCGGAAATATTTGGCGTTAATTTTATTGTTGTTGTTTTTTTTTATTATTTCTATTAGAACCGTAAATAAATATACACGTAGATTGAGAGAGGAGATAGACAGGAAAAAGAAAGATGGAACATTTGACCCCGATGAACCCAACTTTCTGCATCATCTGATTACAAATACCAACCTATCAGAAGTCGACATTGATACACTGCTTCATAACTTTGTAGTCGCAGGAACAGACTCCGTAAGAATTTATTTATCTTTTAGTTTCCCCTGTTCGTTCCTGGGGTTTTACGTCCACTTCCAACTAGGGTGATATCGCAGACAAGAGTTTGCTCTGTGTGTGTTAAATAGCTTTATGGTCCTTGTTTAAACTGCAAATGTTTAACAAGCAAAATCGTATGAGAACAATGAAATGAAATGGCGTTTGACGTCCTACTCTTCTACGCCGACTGGGCTAATGAAGACGGGCGTTTGCCATACAGTGAGGTGTGAGCGAAATTGTGGCCGGACAGAGGCAGAGGCGCTCTGGCCTACTCTTACATTGAATTCCAACTGCCAGGTATTCTTTTACGTGCACGTCAATCTGGACACGGGACCTCGGTTTTCGTCACATTCGAACGACTAGACAGTGTTCCCGGCCAGGCCCTCTTGTTCTGCATTACTGACAAGAGGGAACAAGGATCGAACCAGCATCTTACTTACTGAGCCACCGCGACCCCTTGAATTTTAACAACACAAACACCTATTTAAAACTACCATTAACAAACCTTACCTTCTGATGATTGCAGACGGCTAAAAATCTCCAAGTATTTTTCTACAATATGGCGACCAATAAAGATAAACAAGAGAAGTTATACAAGGAAATTCAAAATGCATTGGGTCCACAGAATGACGTCACACCGGAAGCATTGGCTAAGATGCAATATTTGAGAGCTTGTGTTAAAGAGTCTTTCAGGTAAAAATATATTTAATCACAGGGTTGGATCCAGGACGTTCAACATTAAATCCAATCTGATTAAAACACAGATCCTATTTCGTTTCGTTTTTTATAGTTCAAAATTTCGTTTTACTCGTCTTTACTACACCATGATCTGAAAAATTTGTTATATAACCCGCGTTCTGGTTGATGTTGTGATAATACCGGGACATGATGGGCTTTTGATATCCAAAATTTAAGACAAAATAAATATTTTACCATTGGTACACGAATCATGTAGCATAATAGGTTTCAGCGCCATTTGTAACAGGGGACTTGAAGAACGAGGCTAGACATTCACAAGTTATGTCATTCGGTGACGCCATATTCTTATCTGGAAAGCATGCGCGATTAATACTATCGGTGTAGGCTGGAATAACCAGACGCTAGAGCTTACTATTCGATTGAGACTTCTAGCTTATTTCGCCGAACATAACGTGATTTGAAATTAGAGTGAAAACGGAAACGATTGAATGTAAATGACAGTTTATTAAAAGTAATAATGAACTTAGAACAAACTACAATTTCAATCTGAAATATTTAAGATATAAGTTATATAATTTAGCATTTTAGGTGTGCAACCAGTCACGTAAAAGAAGTTACATTCTTTGAAGTAAGCGTATTAGTTCACGCATTACCAGGTTAAGAATTGTGTCGTAAATTCCACTCCATAATAAAGATGTTTCTCAACTAAAGATTGAAGGACTAATTTCTGTATATTATTATATGTTTTAGACTTCATCATCCAACGTCTACTGGCACTATTCGTGTTCTTCCAGAAGATATCGTTCTCGGTGGTTATAGAATACCAAAAGGGGTAAGTTATAAATGAAATGAAATGGGGTTTAACGTCCTACTGTTCTGCACCTACCGGGCTAATGAAGACGGGCATGCGCCATAAAGGGGGGTTGGATGACCGAATGGTTAGCACGTGCGTACTGTATCATAAAGCCTGTCATTGAGTTAACTGGCGTGGTTTCGAATCCCCGGCTGTACGTGACAAGGAGTAGGTCGCCTGTCCAACCTCGTGGGTTTTCTCCGGGTCCTCCGGTTTCCTCTCACTGCTAACGACCCCTACGCGCAAACGAATTATTGAAATAAAATTAAAACCATATGTTAGTCCCGAAATTACCTAGTTTGTGTCGAGTGGACGTTAAACCCCATTTCTCTCTCTATATATACGCCATACAGTGTGTTATGGGGGACATTTTGCTCGGGCAGTGGCACTATGGCCTACTCTTATATCGAATTCCAACTGTCGAGGGATCTTTTACGTACACCAGAAGTTTTGAAATGAAATGAAATGTGGTTAAAATCCTACTGTTCTGCACCTACCGTGATAATGAAGACGGGCATACGCCATATAGTGTGCTATGAGCGAAATTTTGCCCGGGCAACAGCGTTATGACCTACTATTATATCAAATTCCAACTGTCAAGGGATCTTTTACGTACACCAGAAGTTTGGAAATGAAATGAAATTGGGTTTAATGTCCTACTGACCAACTGGGCTAATGAAGACGGGCATACGCCATATGTGCTATGAGCGAAATTTTGCCCGGGCACCGGCATTATGGCCTACTATTATATCGAATTCCAACTGACAAGGGATCTTTTACGTGCACCAGAAGTTCCTGTGTTACAATATGTATACGTGGATTACTATAAGTGGAATTATTTTTGTAGCGACATGCAAAGGTTTGGAATTCCTGCTTTTGATATATCCATTTAGTCGCCGACTATCGCCGACCTTAGTCGTGCTTCTGTTTTTGACAACTTCTATTTGGTCATGGTGTGAGAGAGAGAGAGAGAGAGAGAGAGAGAGAGAGAGAGAGATGGGTTTGAGTCCACTCAACACAAACTAGGTCATATCGGGACTAACACATTGGTCGATTCTATTTCAATAATTCGCCACGTAGGGGTCTTTAGCAGTGAGGGGAAACCGGAGGACCCAGAAAAACCCACAAGGTTGGACAGGCCAGTTGAATCAATGTCAGCCCTTATGATACAACGCACACACGCTAACCATTCGGCCACACACCCCCACCCCACCCTCCCCGGTAATTCGATTATCCATAGTATTTATCCAGCAAATGTTGTGATCTTTTCAGATTGAAATCATATTATCTAATCAAAGACTGGCGAAAAACCCGGACATATTTGACGACCCAGAGAGTTATGTGCCCGAGAGATGGTTACGAAATGTTGACGGGGCAAGGCAGAGGCCTATTCCGGCAATGGCGCTTTTACCGTTTGGTTTTGGTCCCAGAAATTGTGTTGGCAGACGATTTGCGGAACAGGAAATGTATCTTGCTGCTATTCAGGTAATGCAAAAACAAATTGAGGGTTCCGTTTGCAAAACATTCCCTATGGCTAGTCTGTCAATCCCTTTGTCCGGAAATTTGGAAATGAAATGAAATGGGGTTTAACGTCCTACGCTTCTCCTCTGACTGGACTAGTGAAAACGGGCATACGCCATACAGTGTGCTATGCGGGAAATTTTGCCCGGGTAGCGTCAGAGATATTTTACGCACACGCCAATGTATACACGGGTCCTCGATGTACACATTGACGTTCACGTAAAAGAACCTCTTATATAAAAGTAGGCGGTAGTGCCGCTGCCCGGGCAAAATGTCCCTCATAGCACACTGTATGGCGTATGCCCGTCTTCATTAGCCCAGTCGGAACAGAACAGTAGGACGTTAAACCCCATTTCATTTCATTTCATTTCAAGACATGTAAATGAATTATTATGTAAGATGGTAGGGAACGGGGAGGGGGGGGGGTGTAGTAGGGGGTAGTTATCCATAAACAACAAAAAATTTATGTGTTTGTTTTTTTAGATTTTGCAGCGTAGTGAAGTAGATCTAGAGGAAGACAGCGAAGACATGATTGTGGAATATACGACTTTTATAACAACTAAACATCCCATACCGTTAATATTTAAACCAAGAAATGGCTGAAATGTTTGGATATCTTGAACGAGCTAGAAGATCAAACTTCACATCAAACAAGTTACCACTTGTTCATCCATTATCATAGCATGTTCATCATTTGCCCAGTGTTTGTTCGTCCCTTCCTTGAAGTTTAACGTCCGCTTCCGCCTTGGGTGATATCGCATCGTTAAATCACGGTGGGTTTGTATATATATGCCACCAGTTTTAAACCACCATCCAGTGAAAGACAATGACATAAATTCCGGCGAGCTTTCCGGAAATGAGCGAAAGGGTACTTTTAAAATGTTATTAAACCAGTGTTGAAATCAGTTTGTGCTGGCATACCTTTTATCTTTTTCGTCGTTTACTGTGAAACTTTACATTTGTGTTACTATCTTTGGGTATAGTTCAGCTAATATGTGGGCTACTAGCTAAATCCATAAAATTGTGTTATTTTGGGATTGAAGGATGTTATCAAACATTAACAGAGAGAGAAAGAAATGGGGTTTAATGTCCACTCGAGAAACTAGATCACTTCGGGACCAACGTATTGTTCAATTGTATTTCATTAATTCGCCTGCGCGTAGGGTTCTTTAGCAGTGCGGTGAACGGGAGGACCCGGAGAAAACCCACGAGGTTGGACAGCTAAAACTGTGCAAGACTTTTGGAAAATCATTATACAGGGGAATAGAGACAACAACAAAAACTTTTACGATGAAACAAGTCGATAACCTCGATAACAGACTAATATTTCAACAGTCTGTAATCCCCCTAAACCCATCCCACGCCGCCCCCTACCACCCATCGTACGATTGTCTTCAACGTTTATATTTTTAAAGGACAATATTGGTGTCAGTCATTATAACATATGTGATAGAACTGGTTAAACATTTTCTAAATATACTTTTAACACAGAGATCATTGCTACGATAGATGCGTTATCAAGATTTCGGGAAACGGAAGTGACGAAAGGAAAACACGAGTTATCCTTCTATAATTAATATCATTCAAATTATTTCTACTAAATCTCAAAAATGTTTTGTATTCCTGACCAACCGAATGTCTATATATATGTATTCGCCATTAGCTTAACAAGCAGTCTTTACGTGGTATGCAAATCTGATTAAAATACAAATCTATATTTCGTTTCGTTTTTTATAGCCTACACTACATGAAGATCTAACCGGTTATAGAGGAAGGTTGCGTCAGAGGTCACAGATTTTGACCATATGACGTCAGACATTTGATTAACCAATCAGCGTTGATGTTTCTAGTTGGTTACCCACAGTTCCGTGCATCTCACGCCAAACACTCGCCATAACAAACCGTTTCATTGACTAATCCCACACATGATCATGACCGCGGGTTATATAACAACTCTTCCAGATCCTAGTGTAGTAAAGACAAGTAAAACAACATTTTGAGCTATAAAAAACGAAACGAAATAGGATCTGTGTTTTAATCAGATTGGTTGTATGCATATGTTCTATTAGATTTCTAATACCTTTAAAATGTTTTAGAATGATTAATTTAAAAAAAGACAAAATTCGGACGAAAATGATTTTTGGGTTCCGCGGAATTTGAGCCATTTAAAGTACGATATTTGTCTCCATCATTTTATATGACAAATGTTCTATTAGACCCTCTTAATAACATTGAAATAACAAGCGGCTGCCATGCAAGATACGCCCATATTTTCAAGAGATGGACGAGCTAAAATATGCCGAGAAAATGTTCTATTAGACTTTCAATAACATTCAAATAACAAAGGGTTGCCATGCAAGATACGCCCACATTTTGCAAGAGATGGGCGAGCTAAAAAAAAAAGGCGATTTGTTGTACAATCAGGGGCCATAATCCAGGAAATTACGTTCCGATATGCGGGAATATCGACAGGAACTGATAGAGTTTGAATAAAACATATATTTAAGTTTCATCAAAATCGGATAAAAATTGTGGCTACTAGAGAGTCCACAACCTTGGTATTACATACATTTACACTATATGCGTACACAGAGCAGCCATTTTGTCGGGCAGTTTAGGTCCGATTTTCACGAAATTCGAACTCAACCAGAATTAGGGTGTAACGGTGTTATATTTAGACGGGACCACAAACTACAAACGCGATTTTTCGTACACACAGGAGCCATAATCCAGGAAGTTACGGTCCGATATGAACCAAGATTGTTGGGTTATAAACATACATTTCAAGTTTTATCAAAATCGGATAAAAAATGTGATCTCTTGAGTGTCCACAAGTTAAAAACGCAATTTTTCCTGCAATCAGAGACCAATTTCGAAAGGAACTGGTATCTTTGGGAGATAGACTTAATATTGGATAAAAATTGTGACCTGTGGAATGTCCACAAATTGTGGACGGACGTCCGGACGGATAAGGGCGACGACAATATACGTCCACAGAATTTGGCCCATTTAGAGAACGTTGTTGGTGGTCACCATTTTATATGACAAGTTTATTTATCAAATTATCATGTGTACTTTCGTTTTAATTAATTATTATAATATTATCACCCAATAATACATTTAACAGTAGATATCGCTTGTGTGATAAATTTCATAATCTACTAACTTATATGAATTTGATTGGTCAATCAAAAAGGAACTACTTTTTTTTTTTCAAAGAACAGTTCATTTTTTTTATTAAAATTAACTTCTTTCTTATTAAAAAGCAAGTATTTTCTATTTAATTGTCTTTGATGAAAACACTGGATCAATATAAAGGACTTTGCAATGGTTGAATTGCTGTCAAAAATTGCTGTCAAAAAATGACGTATCATGTAATCACATTCAGTAAAAGTGAAATCTATAGCAAAGAATTATATTTATTTATTTGTGCATGTAAGAAGGGATTGGGTGATAAATAAAATCTCCTACTCGTCTTTTTTGATATCAAAAAATATCAACACTCGTCGATAAAGTAAAAAAAAACAAGGCTCACTTTATCAACTTGTGTTGATATTTTTTTTATATCAAAAAAGACTCGTAGGAGATTCTCTATTAATACAGATGTACCCATGTAAGTTAATATGTATTTAATAATATTGTTGATAAAACTAACAGTATCTATGTCATAGTACAGATCAATCTGATTAAAATACAGATCTATATTTCGTTTTTTATTCTTTCGATGGCCTACACCTGTTGTAGTGGAAGGTCGCGTCAGGGAGTCATACGAGTAGCTTTTAACCCTATGACGTCAGACATTGATTAATCATTCAGCGTTGATGTTTCTAGTGATTTACCTACAATTCTGTGCACCGCACGCCAAGAACTCGCCGTAACAGACTGTTTTGTTGGCTTATCCCTCACATCATCCAGAACTGGAGTTAAATAACAACTTTTCCAGACCCCAGTGTTGTGAAGACTAGTAAAACGAAATTTTGAACAATAAAAAATCGAAACGAAATTTTGAACAATAAAAAATCGAAACGAAATAAGATCTGTGTTATAATTAGATTGTAGTAAGATGTAAAACTAGAGATTTTATGAAATCCTTGAATATTTCAGTTATGAAAAACCCGTTATGGCCAAACCAATTTGATGTTAAAGCCTTGATAAATAAATAACCACTTGAATCACGTGACAGATGTTGTGTGTGAGAGAGAGAGAGAGAGAGAGAGAGAGTGAGAGAGAGAAATGGGGTTTAACGTGAAACCGGAGGACCCGCAGAAATGGGGTTTAACGTGAAACCGGAGGACCCGCAGAAACTAACGAGGTTGGACAGGCGACTCTGTTTTGTTTGAAATTTTAAAACATAATAATTAGGAACTAAAAGCGTTTCAACAGTGCAATCAAGTACTTTTGGTTTCTAAATTAGTCCTTTTCAAGAAGAAATAAGAAGGTAAATTTTTACGGGTATTCCCGAAGAACAGGAAATCAAATTGATGTGGCTTTAGTTTAGGGATTTCAGGTCACCCTAAAATATTCATAGGTATCATAAATTCACTAACCATAGCGACCAATGATATGCTTATTTTCATCTCGGTCATCTGATGGTCTAGAGGGTTTTTTTTAAAGGCTTTTCATGTGAATAACAGTTCATGACATCTGAAGATTGTTCACTATCGTAGAAACGGTATACTTGACAATCGAGTCTCGGTTATCCATTTTATCATTAAGTTTATAAATCTTGTGACCATTCTAATTCACGTGAATCTCGGTCATCCGGTGGTCTAGAGGGATGACTAGAGGCTTTGTCGCGTAAATAATACTTTATGACATTTGACGTCAGAAAGAAGACATGCATTAGGCAAATTTAGCTCTTACGTAATGTGTCTTTAAAGTGAAAGTCTTTGTTGTGTATGAAGAATGCAATCTTTGATCCAGAAACTTTGTACATGGTTTGGGCATGCGTATATGGATGGATTATTAAGCGCATTACAAATATACATTATTATTATTATTATTTCTTATTGGTGTATTTGATATATTAAATCAACAAAAGTTTGATAAAGGGCTATATTCTAGTTAAAATAAGGCGAAGAATTTTGAGTAAATTCATAAGTCTGAGAATGCTTTGTGAACTTGGGGCCTGATACCCGATACTCATGTCCAAGCACTACACAATGGTGTAACCGACTTAAAGATGACGTTAACATAAACGCGTACGAAGACAATACACTATTCCTACTCATTCTCACTGACTTTGTGGCACGAATAGTTTTGATTAAGGCGAATTTCTATCACTCTTATGAAAACTAAACCTTACTATTTCGTTTCATTGTTTTTCGTTTCTATTTTGATGTCAACCTTCAAACTACAGTAAGATCTTTGAAAGTCAATATCCCCTCTTGAGAGGGGCTGAATCTATTTGTTAAGGCCAGCTCAATTTTCGGCAAGACGCTGAGATGTAAATAAGGTGAGGGCACGTGATTGTTGACGAGATTGTTGTAGGTTTGGGTAAGCATTGGGGCTAGGTCCAAGGTTAGGGTTAGGGTTGGGATTAGCGCTATAGCCCGACTGTTTACATCTCGTGACCTTTGACCAATATGGAAGTTGACCGTATCAAATAGACCAACTCTTTATGGGTGGCCAACTGGCCATTGTTCACAGAATATCCTTGTTTCATTTGTCTTATATCGTGTCCTCTTAAAGCGTGCAGAGAGAATGACTGGTCATTGCTTACAGAATGTCCTCGTTTCACCCATTTTACCTCGAGTCCTCGTAAAGCCTGCAGCGAGAAGAAGAAACACAATATAATACAATGCGACGATCGCCAAGCACGAAAAGCAATTATTACCGATTCACATGGTTCACAAAATAAAAATACATTTCATTGCAGGGATAATTTATTTTTTAAAATACTCGCACTGCCATTCCGATAATTTGGGGAATGTAGATGGCGAGACTTCTTTGTTGTTATGTGTTGGGGTGTACTTTTGCGATGACAACGATTATCAGTTCAACTAAATTTAATATTGCCCTAAATTCAATCTAATTAAAACACAGATTCTATTTCGTTTCGGTTCATAAATGAAAAGTGCAAAAAAAAAAACGAAACGAAATATAGATCTAAATTCAATCGAATTAAAACACAGATTCTATTTCGTTTCGTTTCGTTTCATAAATGAAAAGTGTAAAAAAAAACGAAATATAGATCTGTATTTTAATCAGATTGGCCAAAATTCAATCGAATTAAAACACAGATCCTATTTCGTTTCACTTAATAAATGATAAGACTAAAAGAACGAAACGAAATATAGATCTGTATTTTAATCAGATTGACCGAACTCAAAGAGGTGTTTAGCTTCACTAAGAATGGGTGGTGGAAGGGTGCACAATAAAATCTAAGACATGACATCTATATTTGTTGATATGGTTCCTAATGTAAATATTGCTGCTGTATTTAAACATGTTATTGTAAATAATATTGAATGTAACCATGTACGCAAACTGAATAAATTGACTTATACTATTGCTATTTATTTCTGTTATGGCATCATTTAAACGTTGATGCTGCGAAACTGAAGCGGCTGAAGCGAAATGGGGTTTAACGTTCTATTGTTCTGGGCTCTGTTTCTCGAAATATTAACTAAAAATTAAATCCAAATTTTAGTAGATACTTCAATTTTGATTGGTTAAGCATTAAAATCAATCTAATATGATCCAATCAAATTACTAAAATTTGGATTTTATCTTAGTTAAAATTTCGTGAAACAGGCCTCAGCACCGACTGGGCTAATGAAGACGGGCATGTACGCCATACAGTGTGCTATGGGGGGAACTTTGCTCGAATGTCAAGGGTCTTTTACGGATCTCGTTTTTTGTCCCATCCGAAAGATTGGGCGCTTTCCTTGCCAGACCCTCCGCCCTGTATCACTGACATGGGGGGACTACACCGGAAAATCCAAAGGAACTTTCATAACCAACAAGAGATTGAAACCGGGACTTCCTGGTTACCGAGTCAGCGCCTTATGCTAGGTTCCCACAAGTTACTTTAGTAACGAAAATATGAGAGCCCGCCTTGTCTGCTCTCTGCGTTACTGGTGAGACTTAATGACAACTAGTATCCCGAATTTTCGTTTACGGTAAAAAATTCCATTCCTAAATTTGGAATATTGGCTGAGAGCAGCTATGAACCGGTCTGCGCAGGCGTCAGTTTACAATGGTCGCCAGATTTGAATGAATGTTGTTTATGTTTTTCTAGCGCACAATTCTACATAAAAAAAGTGTTGGATTATTATAAATTTGTGTCGGTTGTGGCAGGAAATGATTTCTTTTGGTGATCAAAGAAGAATCGCGGTGCAAAATAGACGGTAAGGATTCTAAAATAGCCTTAGAACCGAGATGGGGAAAAGCCTTATTTTCATACTAGTTGTCATTAAGTCTCACCAGTAACGCAGAGAGCAGACAGGGCAGGCTCTCATACTTTCGTTACTAAAGTAACTAGGTTCCCACTGTCGTGCAAGGTGTTACGATAGGGTTGGCCCTATTGAGTCCACGATCTGGTACGTTCGGACACGTCTCGATATGATCAACACGATTGCTACGACTGACCTCAATATATGATAAGACCTGATAGGATCACCACGATTATTCCACGACTAAAACCACGATTGCGATCGTAGCGCGAATCGTGATAATGGGAACCTAGCATTACTCATTGAGACACCGCGACCTTTCACGATCACTTTGTCGGTTGAGAAAGTTCCACCTTGTCACAATCTGATTACAATACAGATCTATATTTCATTTCGTTTTTTTATACTGTCGATGGCCTACACTACATGAAGATCTGACCGGTTGTAGCGATAGGTCATACGAGTGGCTTTTAACCCTATAACGACAGACATTTGATTAACCAATCAGCATTGATGTTACTAGTGGGTTACCCACAGTTCCGTGCAAAACACGCCTAAAGCTCGCCGTAACAGACAGTATCATTGGCTAATAGCTCACATCTTTCAGAACACGTCAATGATAACAACTCTTCCAGTCCCTAGTGTAGTAAAGACAAGTAAAACGAAATTTTGAACTATAAAAACGAAATGAAATATGATCTGTGTTTTGATCAGATTGACCTTGTCAGTGAGGGCCTGGCAATGGACAACGTATAGTCGTTTGCAGTGCACGTAAAAAGAACTCTTGGCAACTGGAGAATAGACCAAATTTCCCTCATAACCACCTGTATGGTTTATACCCGTCTTCATTATCCTAATCGGAGCAGAACAGTAGGACGTTAAACCCCACTTCATTTCTCGAGAAACAAATCTACCAGAACAATGGTTCTATATTTTGAAGGAAACTCTGTATAGGTGGCCATTATTCACAGAATATCCTTGTTTCATTAATTGTCGTATATCGTGTCCTCGTATATTGTGCAGAGAGAATAAGTGGCCATTGTTTACAGAATGTCCTCGTTTCACCCATCTTACCTCGCGTCCTCGGAAAGCGTGCAGAGAGAATGACAGGTCATTGTTTACAGAATGTCCTCGTTTCATTTGTCGTATATCGTGTCCTCGTAAAGCGTGCAAAGAGAATGAGTGGTCATTGCTTAGAAATTCTCCTCGTTTCATTTGTCGTATATCGTGTCCTCGTAAAGCGTGCAGAGAGAATAACTGGTCATTGCTCACAGAATGTCCTCGTTTCAACCATCTTACCTCGTAGTCCGATCCTTAATGTACATCAGTCGGCTTTTCGGGTAGAAATCGTGGAACAAGTTTTATTTTATAGGTTTTGATGTTTGATGACAAAAAAACAATGTTGACATTTTTTCTGAGTACTTCTTCATAGTGTGGGACGCCATTATTTGAAAGGCAGCCATTTTGCAATAATATTCCAACTTATATTTTGTTTTCAACTTATTTATAATCTTATCGACATATCAACTGTGACTTGGCACTGTATTAGTATTGACAGGGATCATGACTATATTTCAGATTTTTTTCACCACTTCATGGAGATATTTCCAAGATGGCGACCATTTTGGGCGGGAAAATCGGACGATGTGCTGATTTTCATTACGTAGTAGTGTTTGTTGTCAATATATATGTTTACGGGGGCGCAGAATCTATTTCTGACGTTTACAACCTTGTAAAATGATCATATGTTCACATATTTAGCATATTTCCAAGATGGGGGCCATTTTAAGCGGGAAAATGAGACGATGTGCAGATTTTGATTAAGTAGTAGTGTTTGGTGGCAATATATATCTTTACGGGGGGGGGGGCACAGAATCCATTTCTGACATTTACAACCTTATAAAATGATCAAATGTTCACATACTTAGCATATTTCCAATATTGCTGCAGACGATGTGCTGATTACGATTAAGTATTTGTCTTTGGTGTCATTATATATGTTTTCGGGGGCGTAAATTCGATTTCTGCCATATACATCTGCATAAAATGATCGTACATAAAATGATCGTATGTTCACCAATTTAGCATATTTCCAAGATGGCGGAACGTTTTCTAAACACATTATTATCATTTATTTACTTGTTGTTGTTATGTACAAGTTTCAGAGTCCAATTCTGCTACGTAGGTTATCAGCTTGTAGCACATTCCGGAAAGCCGGTACCGTGTCGTACGGGACTGCACGTATTTAAGCCCACCCGTTATTTAGCCCATGGGCTTAATAACGGGCAAAAAAACGTTTTTAAGCCCATGGGCGTAATTTAGATTATTGAATTAGAGTGGTCTCCCTTAACGGATGTTTGCTGAAACGTGCTATCCATGGAAAATCTCAGTCAGTATTATACGCTAAGTGCTGTTAGGGGCGTAAATTAGATTATTGAATTAAAGTGGTCTCCCTTAACGGATGTTTGATCATGAAAATGCTGTCTTTACTAAACTTTGAATATTCTACATGTTTTGATTGTTTTTGCTAGTTTTTCGTTTTTAAGCCCTGGGCTTAAATTCGACTAAAATGTTACCCGATGAAAACAGGCAAAATCCGTATTTAAGCCCTGGGCTTAAATACGTGCAGTCCCGGTACCCATTTGGTATATTATCCAACGATGAAAATTCCTTATCCGAGAGGACCACTGAGCTGTTATTGATTTTCCTGGGAAAGAAAAGCCTATTTACTCGGTCTCCTGGCATGAAGGCAAAGAGAGCGTAACGGCAGCGTTGGGCTTGCGCCAATAAACGTGTCAAGAAATTGACACGCACCCATCATGCTTCTACCACGACCAACCAAGCGCTTGCTAAACGCAGCGCGCTCCAGTCAAGAACTTACTACCCTCATGGCCAAGCTCTAGCTACGCGCAACGTGTTCCCACCACACTCCCGTGACGTGCCTAGCAGGCGTAGGACGCTCTCTCGTCGCGCCTATAACGACCTCATTAACTTTCAAAGCAGAGAACAATCAAAAGTCAAGCAATCAAGAACAATTTTTAGTTTTCTTGATGTTTCCTCTTTGGACGCGAAGTTTGAGCTGACGGGCGATGTTCAGTATCTTCCCTATATATACATAAAGGTTGTAACAGCGTAGCAAGCATGTACCCAGGAGCTTCGATCCAGCTTGGTGGCAACGTGGTTCAGAGTGGTGAGGACGTGGCTGTAAATGTAATACTTGCTAAGAAGCCCCCATAGCATAGATTATGTTATCAACTGACTTCCAAGCTGATTGTGGAACGAGCATGTGGCCGGCTACTTTGACATCACTGCCACCAGTTATTCCAATAGTGATGGCAGACAGTGCTGGATTAACCATAAGGCAAATAAGGCACATGCCTTAGGGCCAGCCAAAATTCCAGGCCACAAAATAATAAAGTAAAACGTTTTTTGATAATTATCAGGTGGTGACAAAAATGCTTGCCTTTATTTTTATGTAAATAAATTGCATCCTTCATCTACGCGTTTGTCGTAATCTAGCTAAGCAGTGGATGGGAATATGTAGGCTACTTATAGTAAATACGGTACTGTCAATGTTCTGAATTTGTTTGTAATAAATTTTCTGTTGCTAAATTTAACTTAATTCCTTTTGTCAATGAGCCCAACATATCTGTATTTTCAGGCCACCTATCAAAATGTGCCTTAGGGCCAGCAGAGCCTTAATCCGGCACTGATGGCAGAGATGTCATAAATGACGGATAACGTCGTCATTTAAGTGGTGATATAGTTTGTTTTTCCAACGCAACAGCATTCATCTCAATGGCTTCTTCCACGCGCAGCTTGGGGTCACTTGATAATATAGTCTATGCCACGAAGGTTTCTTATAACAGGTATTACTATTTCATTTGCAGTCCTTGTTTTTATTTCTTTGCATACCGCTTTATATTTAATATCATACATTTCTGTTCTATTTTTAATTTATTATTAATTCTCACATGTTTAACAATCGTCAATTTTGTATCTATAACTAACAGACAACATAAACTGAAAGTCGCGATCGCGCCACCAAGTCTTAAAATCAGACTTGCGTCCAACTACTACAAAGCGATCGACCAAGTAAATGTGCTATTTTCCTGG